TCCAGGAAAATCCGGACGTATGGTAACCCTAGCTCCACTCTCTCGGAATCCCACCACTCCCCACCCCTTTCTCCTCACCTCCATTTCTCTGTGTTTCCCTGAGCCCCTCTGGCTGACCTTCTACGATCCATCATCCCTGCGTCCCCATGAAGATGCCACTGTTCCAAGAGGCAGAAGGCAACTTCTCCCTGCTGCCTCACCTCTGCGCTTTAGCAGAGGAAGCAGCAGGAAGGGGTATTGCTGGGGCAGGGAGTGAAAGGAGGACGCAATGGCAGCTGCCTGTGGCGACAGGACATTGGCATTGCTTTTAAAACCTTCTCAGGCAGCTGCCATTGCTGCAAAGCCCCAGGGCTGGGTTTATGGCTGGCGGGTAGCATAGGCCGGGGAAGGCTGTGCCTCCCCAAACAGCCTGGCATAGCCCCGCCCATGCTCCGCCCCCTGGTCCCCTCCTGCCTGCTTCCAATTCCCTTCCCTCTCTTCTGTGGCTGAGAGACTGAGGCAGGCAGGCTGGGGCTGGTGCTCACAAGGCCCAGGGTTTGGGGGGCTGGGGCTGGGGTCGGGACCTTGCATTGTCATGCTGCCTGCTCTTCCACCCAGCGCTGAAGTTGGGGACGATCCTGCTGCCCAGAGCTCCAGGGCTGGGGGTGCTCCTGCTGCACTGCTCGCCTGGCACGCTGGGGTAGTGCAGGGGTGGGGGGGCCGGGTTGCTCTGGGCTCCAGCGGAAGAGAGGGGGTTGAAAGGGAGAGGTAGGGCCTTGGGCAGAATGGGTGGGGTTGGGGGTTAGTCTCTCTCAATGGTTAGCTTCTCTCAATGACTCGTGCACCTGCTGCCCATGGCTGGGTTATAAACCCTGAGAGATGAGTAGGGAGGCTGCAGTGGTGTTCTGCACTGAAAAGAGTATAACCCCACATCACACAACCGCCACCAGGTGATGTGGGATCCTCCCATCCTCCTCACCCATAGACTCTGTTGTCACGTTCTGGGTCTTCATCTCCGGAGACTTCAAAGCAGCCGTCAGTGCAGCCAATTCCACACTCTGCAGGAGGAACGTCACGGCAGAGGCCACCTCCCTTTTGTTCTCGTTCCCACCAGCACTGAGGGTGGAACTATTCAGGAAGGGACCAAAGGGGCCAGCAAAATCCTGGGATTGGGAAAGGAAACACCCTGAGAAGGAGGGAGGATTTCAGTGGTTTATGAGCCACATTCTTCAGACTCCCAGGGGAACAATGACCCTCTTAGGGACAAACAGGTTCATAGTGACCTTCCCCACTCAGAGGGACTGCAGCATTCTCAAAAAGGGAGCCCTTTACAGAGCGAGTGAGGCTACTGAGGCTTACTCAGGACTCCACAGTAGGCTGACGTCAGGGTAGGGCTAACGCCCTGTCATTCCCTCCTCATCCCTGGTCCCTTCAGTGTAGGTGCCAGAGAACATTGCAACAAATCAGCAGGCATCTAGGTTCTCTCTGTGTTGCCCCCAGAAGGGATTTGGATCTTCCTAGGACCAGTGGGGACAAAACCCAGATCCCCTGCCACTTAAGCTAGAGAGCATGTGCACACACACCCCTTTTCTGAAGAGCAGCTACAATTCCCCCCAAAGTGAAACTGCTATTCCAGTGCTCAGGGCATTTGGCCATAGAGCGCCCACACACGTAGGGGCAAAACCTCTGACCTCCAATGATACTGCTCTGTCCTGGGCACACATGGTCTCCAAATTCACTATGGTTAAATTCACGAAGGAGCAAAATTCACTGTTGTTGCCCTGCAGAGCAATGAGAGGAAATGGGTTATTTCTGAAAGCATGGAAACGCCACCCAAATTTAAGGTTAATGGTTCTGCAGAGCGATGTTGCTTTGACCTGTGGCTGGCTGGCTGTCCCACTGGAATGCTACAGATTACGACATGTTAAGGCTAAGTGTGGTGAAGCCCACAGACATGCTGATATTTCACATAGTATTGAAGCTTTCATTCATATTAATGAATTTCTCCTTCCTTTCCTCACAGGGGTTTGTAAGGATTATTATCCTCCTTCTACAAGTGGGGAACCGATGCAAAGAGAGACTGAGAAAATTGCCCAAATTCCCACAGTGAGTCTGGGCAGAGATGGGAACTGAACTCTGACTTCCTGTATCTCTGGCTGGTGCCTTAACTGCAGAACTCTGATAGACTGTGGGGGTGTCACACACCATGATAGGGTTGAGTTTTCAAAAGCACTTGGTGTTGGACTGATTCTGCTCCCACTGAAGTCAGTGGTAAACCCTGGATAGACAGAGAATCCTCAGGCTCAAAGTTTTCTGTGTACTCTTTGTGAAAACCCTCAAAAACCCAAATAAACCCCTTCCACGTACCTTCAGAAAGACATCTTTGCACATCTCCAACTGCTTTTGTATCTGTGGAGTCTCAGTCTGGCATTTAAAGGTAACATCTAGCAACAGAAAGAGAGGCAGGGCAATAACATCAGGTCAACATCTGCAGGGCTAAAGTTTTCAGAAGTGTCTCGTGATTTGAGACCTCTTAAAAGGGCCCTGACTTTCAAAAGTGCTGAGCACTCACCCTCTGAAAATCAGGCCCCTTTAAGGTCTCAGGTTAGGCAACCAAAATCACAAGGCAATTTTCTTCCTACCACAATACAAAGTTGATGATCTACCTAAACCCAGCAGGTGCTGTCTCCCTTTAACTCCATTGATCCCTTAAGCTCTGTCTATCTGACAACTTTCAACTGACTCTGTAATCAGTCAGCAATACATTCAGCCTTAAAAGCCTGGTGTGTGTCCACACATCACCTGTTTAGTACTCACTTAAGCTTTGTCTGTGTATCTCATTGATCAGTGTGTGTTATGTGTCCTCTAGGGGCTGGTCCACCGAGGGTCTGGTTCTGCTACAGCTCCTAGCTATGGGAGTTCATCCCTTAGCTCAAACAGTAGTGGGTCATACAGTTACAAAGTCCTGGGTTTCATCCTTGGTGATAACCAAGATGACAGTTGTTACATCTATAGTCGAGAAGTTTCTCTTCCCAGGAACTGTTCTAACCCTGCTATTGTACTTCAAAAAGGCCTGAGTCTCAGCAAGGTATGTCTGCACTCGAAACACTAAAGTGGCACAGCTGCAGCTGTGCCACTGTAGTGTAGACACTGACTACAGTGGTGGAAGGGTTCTTCCATTGCTGTAGTAAATCCACCTCTGAGAGCTGGTAGCTAGGACAAGACAAGAATTCTTCTGTTGACCTAGTGTTGCCTATGCTGAGGCTTAGGCTGGCTTATGATTGACTGAAGTTTCAGGTGTTGAGCAGGCCTCAGTTACACTAAAAGCCTTATGTTGCTCTGGCCTGGAAAAGGTGATTAAACTGGGTGTAAATGGCTCCTAAGAATGCTCCCTGTGGAGGGACTCTCCACAGCTCGTGTGGAACTGGTAGAAGGGCCTTTACATGAACTTGGCTTCATATGCAAGGCAGATCAAGGATGTGGTCAGAATGCACCATGCTACAGCTACTTTCTGATTTTCAGGGGCCATGAGAAGCAGAGGGTAAATTACAGCATCCCTCCATGGTCCCAGAATGCATAGAGCACAAAGGTGGTTTAAAGCTACCTTTTCCTCCACCCTTTCTATTCCCTGCCACAAGCACAGGAGTGGCATAAGTAAGAATTGGGCACAAAATTCTCTTGGGTACCCAGAGGGCATTACAACCAAGTGTAGGAGGAAAAGTGCAACAGTTCTTAAACCAATTCAGAACAGCTGGCGAGCATCTGCCTACAGGGCTGCCCAAAGGATTCATGGGGCCTGGGGCAAAGCAGGGGAGCTGCGATGCTTCTACTCACCTAGCGGCGGTCCGGATCTTCAGCGGCATTTCGGCGGTGGGGGGGGCTTTCAGTCGCTCCGCGTCTTCGGCAGCACTGAAGGGCCCCCCACCGCCGAAATACCGCTGAAGACCTGGACCACCGCCAGGACAGGGCTCGCGGGGCCCGGGGCCTGGGGCAAATTCCCCTCTTGTCCCCCCCTCTGGGAGTCCCTGTCTGCCTAACTGCATGAGCTGGGCTGAAAGTAGATCGGTGCAGCTCACACCCCTGAGAGACTTAGTTAAGGCGTCCTGAGCCCAGTGTCGACACCATTAGGTTGACAGAAGAATTCTTCCATCAACCTAGATACCACCTCTCGGCAGGTGGATTAACTACAGTGATAGAAAAACCCCTTCCATCGCTGTACCAAGTGTCTACACTACAGTGCTACAGAGGCACAGCTGCGGCGCTGTAGCTGTGCTGCTGTCACTGCTGTAGTATGGACACAGCCGGAGTAACTGTGGCTAGTGGTGGCCTAGGATGCCGTGCTGGGCCAAATTCTCAGCTGGTGTAACTCAGTGGAGCCCCATCAAAATCAACAGACTTTACACCAGGCCCATGGTTGCCTCCCTGGTTGTGACACTGTTTTCTTTGCAGCATGGACACAAACTGTGGTCAAAATCGATTTAAAACCCATGCTACTCACTCTTCCTGCAGGAACCCGGAATCCCATAGCTGTCCATGGCGGCAGTGCCAACACTCAGGAGTGCAAACGGAGAGCTGGGATGTTCCACAGCATGGGATCTGTTGGCAGGTACAAGCGGATGTTCCACAGCATGGGATCTGTTGGCAGGTACAAGCGTACGCATGCCCCAAACGAACTCAGTGCCAGGGACTCGGTTCCACACCACATCCCTTACAGGCTGATTGTCTAGGATGATGGCGCCAGTCTCTGCTGTATTGGCCACCATCAAGGCAAAGTTCTCGAAGCCCTCCTGGGCATTTATAGAATACATCTGGCAGTAACTGGCAACATCTGGAACATTCATCAGGAAGGCGTGGGAGGAATTAGGGAGAGGTGCACCCACGCTGTAGAACACCACCTGGATGCCCACATTAGCAGAGATGTAGACTGGGATCCAGGGCTTGACAGGACGCTGGAGTACACTGCCTCCTGCTAGAGTAACAGTCTCTGCCTGTTCCCCTAGTTGATACAACACAGTTGTGTTCCGGGAAGCAGTGATGTAGACTATTTCATCTACTTTCTGCCAGGGTAAGGGAGGAACGATGTATTTTGTACCCCAGCTGCAAACTGGTAGGAGCTGCTCAAAGACATGGTTGCATTTAGTGTTATTACAAAAACACCTCTGGCCAACCAAGATGGCCACTGGTTTTTCTGAGACAATCCTGGTGCCAGACAGATCTCCTATGCCTTGAAACTGGATGCCTTGGAAAGCGTGGAGTTTAATTGTCAGTCTGGAGCCAGTGGAGTTGTCCTGTATTAGGTAATGTAACTTGCCTTTCACATGGACCTCCACGGAGTTGGGCTCTTGGTATGTCATAACAGAGAACTCTGGGTAACTATCTAAGGATTCTGTAGAGGGAGTCACTATGTAGTGTTCATTTCCCAAGCTGGAGACAGGATACAGCACAGTGGTCTCAGGGCTCACATGTTTGTTGCTGACGGACACTACTGAGATATCTTTGTCAGCCTTGACTAGGACCACATTGGAGAAATTGGTAGTGCCCTTAATTCCCACTGACTCTGGTAGGCTGACCCGCACCATCTCTCCCCAATTTACCATAATCTTCTTATCAAACTGGTAATTGGAGATGGAAACAGACACTGAAGTGAAGGCAAAGTAGCCAGTAATTTGCACTTCAAATTGACTAGAGTTCCCACAGTCGTCCATGTAGGAGGTGATGAATTCTCTTCCTAGAGTCTCAGTCTGACATGTGCCTGCAAGGAAAAATAGCAATAAAACATTGCAGGTGGAGAGAGAGAGATAGAGTAAAAGGGGCTGGATCAACTTTGTTCAGGCCAAAAATTAAGGCCCAGCAAAAAAGAAAAGGAGTTTGAAAACCTTAATGCAGCTAGAAATCTTTCCCATTATACTTTTAATCTACATTAAAATATTTTTATTAATAGTAAACATTACTTTAAATAATGAACAAGCACAACTTAGACAACTTAGAACCCAACAAAGGCCATGGAACCAAACATGACTTCGGGGAATGTTCCAATCTGGATCTGAACTCCATGATTGTCCCTGGTCTTTATAATAGTTCAGAACCTGAATCCTGGATTCAAACCCTCATGGAAACACAGAAAAATTTCAGATCCAGATGCACACTTAATGATTTGGACTCAGCTCTAAGAATAATTGTTTGCCCTTCCCTAGCACTTCCTGCTGTCTAAGCTCAAAACACTTTACAGACAGACATTAAATAATTCTCAGTCCCACCAGGAAATGGGTCAATATTACTGTCCCCACTGCACTGAGAGGGAAACTAAGGGACAGAGAGGGTTAGGAGCTTGCTCAAAGTAACCCCACAAATCAGCAGTAGAACTAAGAATAAAACTCAGGTTTCCTGACTCTCAGTCTCTTGTGCTCTAACCATTAAAATCAATGCTGGGAAGAGAACTTTAGTCTGTTGTGTTGATAAGGGCAGGTGCCTTGGGCCTATTGGGCTGAGGTGATAATAAAACCCTTTTGTACTGTTACAACATTAAACACATAAGTGTGGTTTGGGGTCTTGTATCAAGTTATCACTGGCACCTTCTCCTGTTGCAACCACCACCATTAAATATATATATATATATACAGAGAAAGAGAGAGAGAACCTTTTATTAAACACACATAAGAAACAGATCAATAAAATTACAATTTAAAAAGTTAAATAAAACTTTTATTTAATGAGTTTCCTTCATTTCCCTTTTAGTTATATAGGGCCAGATCCTCAGCTCGTGTAAATCAGTGTAGCACCACTGACTACAACAGACCTTTGCTGATTTGCTGATAACCACCTGGGTGCCAGGTTTGTGGGGCCGTGGGCTCAGGGTGCTGTTTTTGTTGTTAGAGACAAAAGGGAAACCAGAATGTTTGAAGTAAAATGTTTCAGGTATTCCATATGTGGATCCATTTTTCACTAGCCTCTAGAATGTTGTGAACCTTTATAGGATCTCATGGAACCTTCCAGATTTTCTGAGAACTATATTTCCCTCCAGCCTCCTAGAATGCTGTCAGCCACGCCCTCACGACTATACACGGAGCAGGGGATCACCTACGGTTGGCAACTTTCCAATTGCACAAAACTAACACACTGGCCCCGCCCCTTCTCCAGCTCTCCACCCCCACTTACTACAGTGCCTCGCTCTCCCTCATCCTCACTCACTTTCACTGGGCTGAGGCAAGGGATTGGGGTACAGGAGGGGGTGAGGGCTCCGGCTGGGGGTGCGGGCTCTGGGGTAGGGGTGGGGATGAGGGTTTTGGGATACAGGAGGGGGCTCCGGGCCAAGACCAAAGGATTTAGAGTGCAGGAGAAGGCTCAGGGCTGGGGCAGGGTATTGGGGTGCAGAAGGGGATGCCGGCTGGGGGAGGGAGTTTGGATTGCAGGAGGGGGTTACATCTTGGGGCAGGGGGTTGAGGGTGGGGGCTCCGGCCAGGCAGCGCTTACCTCAGGCACCTCCCGGTCGGTGGTGCAGTGGGGCTAAGGCAGGCTCCCTGCCTGCCCTGGCTCCACGCTGCTCCCGGAAGTGGCCAGCATGTTCGGCCCCTAGGCGGAGGTGCAGCCAGCTGACTCTGCGCAGCGCCCCTGCCCACAGCTGCTGCCCCCACAGCTCCCATCAACCACAGTTCCCGGACAATGGGAGCTGCGGAGCTGGTGCTGGGAGCGGCGGCAGCACTCAGAGCTTCACTGATCACCGCTGCGCCTAGGGGCCGAACATGCCGGCTGCTTCCAGGGAACTTCTCAGAGCCAGGGCTGGCAGGGCCTGCCTTAGCCCCACTGCACTGCCAACCGGACTTTTCATGGCCTGGTCAGCGGTGCTGTCCAGAGCCACCATTGGCCCTTTTCGACCGGGCATTCCGGTCGAAAACCGGACACCTGGCAACCCTAATATCTCCAGTTAGTCTTATGAGACAGGGATAACTCATGCATACAAATCACACATCAATGTCATGAAATGAGCTATATATGCAATAAAAAATAAGGTATTTAAAAGTTTAACAAATGGAGGCTGGGGGGTGTGCCATTTGGTCTAGGGCCGGCCCTGGCTGCCGGTCCTCAATGCCTCTCAGAATTTAGCTCCATTTGTAGGATTTTCCAGTGCTTCTAGTTTCCACATGAAATTAATCATGAACTCAATTTTCATTTGCAATCCTGTAATACTAACAGCTTCTTAAAGGGGAAGCTGCCAAAAGGACAGGCCCAGAGTTACTTCATTCTCCCTGGCTCCTTTCTGACAGACCTCCAGGTACTGCAGTCCAGAATATGAAGTCTCCAGCTGGCTTTTCAGTATGGCTTAGTGACACTATTAAAAGACCTCTCAGTGGGACATAGCTGCAGAAAGAGGTTCTTGTCCACCAGGGGACAGAGTATTAGCAGACAAACTGGAATACCCTAAGGAGTGACAGAGGGACAAAGAGGGAGTGAATGAATAAACGAACACAGAGAAGGAGGAATTATCCCTGACACCCAATCTTTCCTGTTCTCGAAATTTTGGGTTTTCCCTTCAGGGCCTGTTTAGAACCTGAGATGTACCCACCCCTTTGGGCATTCCGCTACTCCTAATGACCCAGATGCAACGAAGCCTCACATTAGAGTCCAGATAATGCTGCTGAGAGGTGCCAAGCTAATACCAGTTTCATTGCAGACACTCTATATGTGACTTACTTATTATGGCCACAAAAACTTTACACAAGGCATTATGTTTCACTAACCTGAGAACTTACCAGTTGTGTTTGTCCTCTGGGCACTTGCTGGTGGTAGAAACCAGAACAGTCCAAGGAGGAAAAACACTTGAGAGAAGATGAACAAAACTTGTTTAAAATCTAAGATATGGCAATAAACAACACAGGGAGACATTACTAAATAAAGGATTTTAAGCAGCTTTGTATGAGTCTGACCCTAATCTCAGTAACATTGGTGTAAATTTGGAATAACTCCATTGGTTTACTTTTACTGGAGTTACCCTGGATTTATCCTGGGACTTAGGAGATCAGAATTAGGATCAGGGCATTGGACCTCATTGATGTGGGGAGAATGGAAGCTAGGCACTGGATTTTTCTATTCTAGTCTCATCCTATGATGCTCTGTAGGAGGCAGCTGGGAGGCTGGAGTCTGAGTGGCTTCCCAGTGCCCTGGGGCAGGGTGTGATGGATTCACAGGGTCAGGTCTATGCTGCAGCCTGTAATCAGTCCCTTTGGCGAGATCCCTGTAGTGTGCTGGGCCCCAAGGAACTACACGGTTCCACAGGGGCAGACCCGTGGTCTCCAAAACTAGGCCTTTGGGTGCCAGCAATCCCCGTCATTTTCCATGGCTCCCTGTAGTATGTCCAGCAGAGTCAGACTCCAGTGGGAGGTTCCTTCTTTACTCCTTCAGGGAACAATGCTCTCAGTGAATATTTCAAGTAATGCCAGGCAGCCTTTTCAAAACCGGGTAAGAATGTATTAGCCACTTGGCCTACAGAATCTGACAGTCCTTACTTTTGCATAGAGAGAGGCATAGAATCATAGAATATCAGGGTTGGAAGAGACCTCAGGAGGTCATCTAGTCCAACCCCCTGCTCAAAGCAGGACCAATCCCCAACTAAATCATCCCAGCCAGGGCTTTGTCAATCCGGGGCTTAAAAACCTCAAAAACCTTAAAAAGCTCTCATTTCTTTTCCCCAGTTAATAAATCTTTACTTAGTTTATTACAGGATTGGCTACATGCTCTTTCTTTGGTGAGAGACTAGGGCACAATTGACCTGGGGTCCTTTGGGACTGGCAGTAACCTGCATACTGCTGTGACTCTTGGTGTAAGGGACCATCTGTCACAAAGGGAGGCTCCCCTGGGTAGCGAGGTAGATCAGAGTGCCTAAGGGGACTGTCGGTGACTCCATGTTGAGGTGGTTCTAGTGCCTGAGGAGGTCACACTTATACTGGTTGTTGAAATCGAAGTATAGAACTCAGAACCAATCTGGGGTTTGTGCCCCGTTTCCTACCAGTCTGCCCCGAGATTGGGACTTGTGCCCTGGAGTCCCTGCAGGGCAGTTTGACACTCCCAATCCCTGCATTGTCTTTGACTCCTCTCTGGGACAGGTTAAGACATGGTCCATGCTGACCAATGCCAGGGCTCCTATGAGCCAGGCTGCTATGGAAACAAACCATCTTGGCTCTCTCTCACCATCTCTGTTCCTTTAGTTCCAGGTGTGTTTCCTGTGTCTCTGAAAGCTCAGCTCTAAACCCAGCCACCTGTCACCTTTCGCCTTTGTTCTCCCACTACCAATTTAGCTAGGAGGATGGGCTTCTTAACTAGCCCCCAGCCTTCCTGGTCTCTTCCCTTTACTAGGGGTGCATACAAATTTTGTTATTCAAAAACAAATTCAAATCTTTTATTTTTTTGGCTTTGACTACCCTGCTGCAGCCACAACCGTTAAAGACCAAAGGTTGTGGCTGCAGCAGGGTAGTCAAAGCCAAAAAAATAAAAGATTTGAATTTGTTTTTGAATAACAAAATAGTAAATAAAAGATCTGGTAAAAAGAGAGGAGGACAGTGCCCCTGGGTCTGTGTGTTTAAGCTGTTACTTTACTAGGGGTGCATAAAAATTTTGTAAGCACAAAAGAAACAGTTAC